GAAAAAAAGTCAAAGCGTACTACATGGAAAGTATCATGCTAAGCGAAATGAGTCAGAAAGAGAGGGACAGACATAGAAAGATTGCATTCATCTGGGGAACATAAAGTAACAAAATAGGAGACTAACACCCAAGAATAGCTGAGATAAGTAGGTTCACTCCATGGCTTGGAGGCCAGCCGCACATGCTTGGGGGAAAGGCAGCTCAGATAGAGAAGGGAGCACCAAGAAATGGGTGTTGGGAGGATCCTCCCAGAATGGAAGATGCATGCTGAAAGTAGACTATAGACCGAACATGATTGCCACTCAATGCTTCTTCTGCAAACCACAACACCCAAAAGAAGACAGAGAACAAAAGGGAATGCCCTGCCAGAGAGGCAGGGTGGGATGGGGGGTGCTGGGAGCTGGGAGGGATACTGGGATCAGTGGTGATGGAAAATGGGGCACTGATGGAAGGATGGGTACTCGAACACTGTATAATTGAAACGCAAGCACAAAAATTTGTAAGTCTATAACTATACCTCATGGTGTTTCACTAATAAAAATTTTTTAAAAAATGTCAAAGCTTCCTATCATGACATACTCCCCCCACCACACACACACACATACACATGCACACACACACACACACACAGAGGCTGGTGGTTACGGCTAAAAATAGTGTATGCATAAAAATATTGTTAAAAGTATTGTCTGAGGGCTGGAGCAATAGCACAGCGAGGAGGGCGTTTGCCTTGCACGCGGCTGACCGGGGTTCGATTCCCAGCATCCCATATGGTCCCCTGAGCACCGCCAGGGGTGATTCCTGAGCGCAGAGCCAGGAGTAACCCCCGTGCATTGCCGGGTGTGACCCAAAAAGCAAAAAAAAAAAAAAAAGTATTGTCTGGGGCCGGGGAAATATAGTACAATGAGACCCTATTTCCATATGAGGCAGTGCAGAAGGTCCCCCAAACACTGCCAGGAGTGACCCCTGAATGAATGAAAATCCAGGAAGAAAGCCCTGTACACCACCGCGTGTGCCCTCAAAGCCCGGCAAACGAAGCACTTTTGCAAACTCCTGCAGCGGGTTCCTTAGCAACCACTAGCCCTTCACCCCACCCCACCCCCGCCCGCCCGAGACTCACCCCAGTATCCGGGGATCACCAGGGCACAGAGAGACGGAGGAAAGGGGGTCGTGGCAAGTGGAGAGCGAGGCAGCAAAAGCTCTTTCTCCGCAAGAAACATCCCAGTTTCCCCTGCACACGTTTGCAGCGCGAGTCGCTGCCTGCAAAGCTCCCCCAGACCCCCGGCGAGCAGCGGCCAGGCGAGCACAAAGGGCGATCGCGGGGGGTCAGGGCTCTCCCCGGCAGGTCCTCGCAGTCCCGAGTCAAAAAGTGGCCTTCAGTGCCCCTGCTTGCGTGCCACCGCCCCCCAGCACTTATTCTTCATTCACCGGCCCAGAGTCCGCCGATCATTGGAACTTACAGCGGCGCTGAAGCCTCACCAGACCAAGGGAGGGGGGCGTGCCCTGGGACCTGTGACGTCACTTCCGCTTTCTCTCAGTCCGTTAAAGGGCCAGGCATCTAAGCGACTGCTAGTATTTCTGGGGGAACTGAAGTTTGCAGTTAGTGGATTTGGCTCTCTGTAGCTTAGACCCAGTGGATCCTGACTCTTGCCACCGGGTGGTGCTCATGTTGGAAGGAGAAGGGGCTCTCAGCCTAAGATTTTTTTGTTCTTTGGGTCACACCTGGCAGTGCTCAGGATTTACTCCTAGCTTTGTCCCTGGGACGCTATGGGATGCTGGGGTTTGAACCCGGGTCAGTCGCGGGTAAGGCAAAAAAAAAAACCTCATCCTAAGTACTGTCGCTAAGGCCTCCCTTAGATTTTTTTTTTGCTTTCTTTTTGGGGGGCTGGAGCGGCTGGAGCGATAGCACAGCAGTAGGGCGTTCGCCTTACAAGCGGCCAACATGGCCAACCCGAGTTCGATTCCTCCACCCCTCTCGGAGAGCCCGGCAAGCTACCGAGAGTATTCGATATGCCAGACACAGTAACAACAAAGTCTCCAATGGAGATGTTACTGGGCCCGCTCGAGCAAATCGATGATCAACGGGAGGGCCTTTACCTTTACCTTTACCTTTTTTGGGGGGGCGTCACACCCTGCGATGCTCAGGGGTTACTCCTGGCTCATGCACTCAGGAATTGCTCCTGGCGGTGCTCAGGGGACCATATGGGATGCTGGGAATCGAACCTGTGTTGGCCATGTTGGCTGTGTGCAAGGCAAACGCCCTACCCGCTGTGCCATCGCTCCAGCCCCCCTCCCTTAGATTTTTGTTGGAGGTGAGGCACTAATGAACTTTCCTTGAAATATTTTCATTCATTTGATTACTGATCCCATTAAACATTTATTTCCTCTAAGTCGCATGCGAAACTAAATTCTAATCATCACTTACTTTTGCACAAGCAATGTGCAAAGTACCTCTGTAACTTTTTGTTTTTGTTTGGGGGACACACCCAGCGATGCTCCTGGCTCTGTGCTCTTGGCACTGCTCAGGGAACCCTATAGGGTGCTGAGGATTGAACCAGGGATGGCCACGCACAAGGAAAATATCCTACCCACTATACTACCATCCAGGGCCCCATATTTCTGTAGTTTATAAACCATATTTTTAGGGGCAAAGAGATAGGAGAGTGGGTAACTCACCTACCTCTCCTGGGTTCCTGCTTCCCAGAGGGTCCCCCGAGGCCTGCCAGGATGGATTTCTTTTCTTTTCTTTTTTTTTTTTTTTGCTTTTTGGGTCACACCCGGCGATGCACAGGGGTTACTCCTGGCTCTGCACTCAGGAGTTACCCCTGGCAGTGCTCAGGGGACCATATGGGATGCTGGGAATCGAACCTGGGTCAACCGCGTGCAAGGCAAACTCCCTACCCTCTGTGCTATCGCTCCAGCCCCCAGGATGGATTTCTGAGAGCCAGGAATAAATCCTGAATACTGCTGGATGTGGCCAAAATTCCTAAGTAAAATTGTGAACAGGTCCCATTTCCCATTTCCATTCAAAACATGAAAGAGGGGACCAGGGCAATAGTACAGAGGGGAGGACACTTGCCTTGCACACAACCAACCAGGTTTGATCCCCAGCATCCCAGAGGGCCCCCCGAGCCCCCTAGAGTGATCCTTGAGCTCAACTGGGTGTCACCAAAAAAAAATGAGAAAAAGGAAAAAAATTACCAACGTCTTCTAACAAAGTAAAATGCTTTATTGCTTTATTTGTATGGGGGTGGGAGCTTCTGATCAAACCCCGTGCTGGAGGGTTCTCCGGGGAACAAGAAGTACCTTAGATCTGATCAGTGCCAGCTGCAGGCAAAGACAACACTTTAACCCCTGTCAGTGGCTCTGGCCTTGCTTTGTTCAGTGTTTACATTCCAGTCATTTCTCCCTCTATTCTGAAGTCTGTAGGAATCTAAGAGCTAGCCCTGGGCTTAGGAAGCAGTCCTAAGTTTGTTTAGGGGCCTGTGACACCTGGTAGTGCTTAAGGCTGACTCTGCCTCTGGACTCAGTGATCACTCCTGGTGGTGCTCACGGGGATCTTATGGTATGCCAGGAATCGAACACGGGTCAGACCCATGCAAAGCAAGCACCTTACCTGCTATAACCAGACCAAGGCCAAGTATAATTCCTGGGTGCAGAGCCAGAGGGAATTCCCCCTGATCACTGCAAAGTGTGGTCCCTCCAGAACAAAACAATCAAAAAAACTGCAAAGATTCAGCTTGGTGTCCAAATTCAATTTAGCTAGTTACTGCAGGTGTGGGCCGTGCCCAGAGATGTTCAGGAGCCCTGTGTGGGTAGAGTGTTTGCTTTGCATGCAACGACCCAGGTTCGCTCTCCTGTACCCCATATGGTCTCCTGAGCCCTGCCAGGAGTGCCACCTGAGCACAAAGCCAGGAGTAAGCCCTGAGCACCCCCTCCCCCCAAAAAGAAAGAGTAAGCCGGGGACCTTCTGGCATCCAACCAGCGATGGTTATCCACAGGATCAGCACTTAATCACCTGTAGGATCTTTCAAGACCTGTCAAAAGAAAAATCAGGGTTGTGTGGGTTTGACCAGACTTGGTTAAGAGCACTTTCAGGAAAGCCTTTAAGGCAGCCTTTCCCTTCAACCACCTAGTAAATCCAGAGCCTCTGTCCCCTCCAGTCATATCGTCCTTCCACATGTCGTGTTTGTGCCCCGGGCCACCGAGCTGCACGGTGTGAGGTATGGATGCAAGGTATGAGGTATGGGGGGGGAGGGGGGCGTAACTGCAACTTCCTAGGAGAGATCATTGTTTTCGGGCCCTTTAAGGAGCTAAAATGACGTCACCGATTCCCGGAACTTTTCTTCTCCAAGACTCTAACCCGGGGGGGGGGGGGGGGGGGGGGGGGGGGGGTGAGGGGAGTCACGTGATCAGCCCCGCCTCGAGCCTGCGATTGGGCAGCCGGGGAAGGGGGCTCCGTGGGAAGAAAAGGGGGACTTCGAAGGGCGATGCTCGCCTCTGCCGGGTGAGGGGCCGCCTTGGAGAGCCCCCCGAATCTCCTTGGTCTCCACACTGTGAGCTGCGGGGCCCTTTCACCCACGTGGTCGTCGGGATACCGGAGTCTCTAGAGGAATCGGGGGGGGGGGGGGGGCTATTTCTGCAGGGGGACGAGCGCGTCCAGGGCCAGGGCTCACCCTGCGTCTCTCCCTAACCCACGAACCACGGGTGTTGGGGTGAGTCTCGGGGACCAGCCGGTTCCGGCACCCGCAGCTTGAGACTCAGCGCTCTGGGATTGTCTTTGTCTTTTGCACGGTTCTTCGTGTCTTAGGGTCCCCCCCTCCCCGGGGCTTTGCTCGCCGGCCTTGCAGCCGCTCGGTGCACGCTTTGCGGGGCGCTCAGGACCCTCCAGGCCATAGCCCGGGGTGCTGGGGGTGGGGGGGGGGACCGTGCGGTGGCCCGGATTCCTGCTGGGCATGTGTGCTCTGTTGCACCGGGATATCCTTTGTCTCCAAAAACCCCAGAAACTATCCAGGACCCAGAACTCTCTCCAGCAGACGAGCCAGAGCGGTAAGACAGCGGGGTGGGGGTGTTTGCGTTGCACGCGGCCAACCCAGGTTGAATCTCCTGCATCCCCTGGGGTCCCCCTCCCCGCCCCACCAGCCTGCTAGGAGTGATCCCTGAGCACTGAGCCAAGAGTAAACCCTGAGTACGCTGGGTGTGGCCCACTCCCCCCCAGAAAACACCTCTCCGAGTGGAGTGTGCGAGCTTCCCTGGTCTTTGCTGGTGGGGGTGCTCATGCAGCCCCCCCACACGCCCCCCAACCCCGCAAGACAACTCAGCTGCAGAGCGGCCGGTCTGGGTTGGGCACCCCTGGCTGTGGCAGGGTATTGTCCCAAAGCTGGTGGGGAACTTGTGAGGAGTTTGGGGGTTGAGCACTGCAGCTGCTCATTCATGCACTAGTGAAGGCACAGTCTCAGTGTCCCCGGGCACGCCCACCTCTGTGCCCGAAGGCCACGCCCCCACTCTGCTGGGAGGGGAGATGTTGAGGTGTTGTGAGGTGATGTTGGGATGGTTCCGCCCCTGCTCCGTGTCCGTGGAACCTTTTTTTTTTTTTTTTGCTTTTTGGGTCACACCCAGCGATGCACAGGGGTTACTCCCGGCTCTGCACTCAGGAGTTACCCCTGGCAGTGCTTAGGGGACCATATGGGATTCTGGGAATCGAACCTGGGTCGGCCGCGTGCAAGGCAAATGCCCTACCCGCTGTGCTCTCTCTCCAGCCCCCACAGAACCTTCTTGCCCGCACCCAGGCTGCGCCTCTCTCTTGGTGGGTTATCAGTTAGATGAGAAGCGCCAAGTTGGGGACCTGGGGGAGCTGGGGGGTGTTGGCCCACACCCTGCCATGCTCAGGGATTACTCCTGGCTTTGTGCTCAGGGGACACTATGGAATAACGGAGATGGAGCCTGGGTCAGCAGCATGCAAGGGGAAGCCCTCCTGTCCTATGATCACTCTGGCCACATATATATATATATATATATATATATATATATATATATGGGCTGGAGCGATAGCACAGCGGTAGGGCTTTTGCCTTGCAAGCGGCCAACATAGCGTACCCAAGTTCGATTCCTCCACCCCTCTCGGAGAGCCCGGCAAGCTACCGAGAGTATCTCGTCCGCACGGCAGAGCCTGGCAAGCTACCCGTGACGTATTCGATATGCCAAACACAGTAACAACAAAGTCTCCAATGGAGACGTTACTGGGCCCGCTTGAGCAAATCGATGAACAACGGGAGGACAGTGACAGTGATATATGTATATATGCTTTATTTCCCAGCACCCAGTGGTACTCAGTGTTGACTCCTGGCTCTGTGCTCAGGGATCACTCCTAGCCAGATTCCCGGGTCATATGGGTGCAAAGGGGTGAAACCCTGATGGTGCATGTGCAAGACAAGTGCCCTGCCCAGTGGACTATCTCTCTGCGCCCCGACTTTTTCTGTAGTTATGGTTTTTCTTTTTGTTGTTAGTTTAACAAACTTAAGTATGATGAGGGTTTTTTGTTTTTGTTTTTTTTTTTTTGGGTGTTTTTTGGTTTTTTTTTTTTTTTTTTTTTTTGCTTTTTGGGTCACACCTGGTGATGCTCCAGAATTATTCCTGTCTCTGCACTCAGGACTTACTCCTGGCGGTGCTCAAAGGACCCTATAGGATGCCAGGGATCGAACCCGGATCGGTCCCATACAAGGCAAATGCCCTACCCACTGTACTATCTCTCTGGCCGCAAGTTTAATGAGTTTCAAGTTGAACCGATTTTATTATTTTTAGTAGTTTTTTTTTTATTATTGAATGAAACAGACACATGAGGAAGTATTTTCGTGTGTGTGCTCTAGAGAGAACATGGACTTCTCCAGAATGGGGCAAGGGCAAACAGAGTCATGGGACTAGCAAGCCAAATTACGGCAGAACTCGGGCTTGAAGAGCAAGCCTCAAGTTGGAGGAGAATCTCAATGTCAAAAAATGTTAACGAGGGGGCCGGAGCAATAGCACAGCGGGTAGGGCGTTTGCCTTGCATGCGGCCGACCCGGGTTCGATTCCCAGCATCCCATATGGTCCCCCAAGCACCGCCAGGAGTGATTCCTGAGTGCAAAGCCAGAAGTAACCCCTGAGCATTGCCGGGTGTGACTCAAAAAGAAAAAAAAAAAGAAAAAAACACTCCTGATAGGCACTTTTTAAAGATCATGTCATGCCATCCTAGTTCCCTTACGGGTGATTTCTGGGGCCTGTCACCCGGGTGAAGGACATTGAAGCTGGATCCTTCTGAGGGGAAAGACCATTTTGGGGCTTTTGGGTGTCGGGGATCCAAACCCAGGACCACCCCGTGCAAGGCAAGCACCCTCCCCCCTATACTATCTTCCCCAGCCCTTTTTTATGCCTTTTTAAAATTTCTCTCCAGGGTTTCTTCCCCAGAGGCCTTTCCTTGGTCGTATGAAATCACAACTCCAAAGATGGCCGTGTGGAGTGTCGGCTGCCGTCCACAGGTAAGAAGGACACTGAGCCGTGAAACAGACTGTCCCAGGAGTCCACAAGCGACTTTTGAATGTCCTCACAACTTGCTTTATTTTATTTTAGAGCCCCACCCAGCAGTGCTCGGGGCTGACTCCTGGCCTTGTGCTCAGGGATCACTTCCGGCAGTGCTCAAGGGGACTTTCTGGGGTGCTGGGGATTGAGCCGGGGTCAGTAGTGTACATGTCAAGCACCCTATGTGCTGTATGTACCATCTCTCTGGCACCCTGACAGGCACTTCTTAAAGATCATGTCATGCCATCCTCGTTCCCTTACGGGTGATTTCTGGGGCCTGTCACCCAGGTGAAGGACATAGAGGCTGGATCCTTCCGAGGGGAAAGGCCCTGATCCCCTCTAAGGCCCTGGGGGTCCCATCCTCACAACCCAGGGAACAGAGTGGGGTCAGGCCCTGACTCCCACCCCCTGTATGTTCTGGCTCAGGACTCAGTGACCTTCCCCGACGTGGCCGTGAGCTTCACCCCGGAGGAGTGGACGTGTCTGGATGCCTCTCAGCGGAAGCTCTACAGGGACGTGATGCTGGAGACCTACCAGCACCTGCGGGCCATCGGTGAGAGCAGCCAGGGCTGGAAGGCTGGGCAGGGCCAGGGTCACCTGCTGGGGGGCGAGGTGGGAACAGGGACCAAGATGGGACAGTGACGGGGACAGACATCCTATCTTCCCTCACCGGGCTCCCCCTCCTTCAAAGCAAAGCCTATGAATGCGTCTCTCCAACTACTCAGTGATTTCTTTTTATTTGGGGTTTTGGTATTTGTCCCACACCTGGCAGTTCTCAGGACTGACTCCTGTTTCTGTGCTCAAGGATTACTCATGGCAGGGCTGAGTGGACCCTGTGGGGTGCCAGCATGGACCCCGGTATAGTCAAATACAAGTCAGTCACCTATATTTTTTTTGTTTTTCAGTCACACCTAGTGATGCTCAGGGGTTACTCCTGGCTCTGCACTCAGGAATTACTCCTGGTGGTGCTCAGGGGACCATATGGGATGCAGGGATCAAACCCAGGTCGGCTGCGTGCATGGCAAATGCCCTACCCACTGAACTATCACTGCGGCCCACAAGTCAGTCACTTTAACCCCTTGATTATTCCTCTATCCCAAGCTGAATACAAGGGTTTTGTTTTGGGATCATACCCAGTGGTGCTCAGGACTTAACTCCTGGCTCTGTGCTCAAGGTTCCAAATAGCATAATCATCCCATCAGTCCATGAGTTTCTTAGTAACATGCACTTTGACTTCCCCTTAATTATAATTGCTTTGGGCCACACCTGGCTGTGCTCAGGGATCACTTCTGGTTGCCTTTGGGGAACCAAAGGGATCACTGGGAATCGAACCCAGTCGACCGCTTGCAAAACAAATGCCAGGCCCGATGTGCTGTCTCTCTGGTCCCTGAATACAAGTTTCAATGCTTGGTAAATAGGATAAAAGTTTATTTTTTTTTCTTTTTGGGTCACACCCAGCTGATGCTCAGGGGTTACTCCTGGCTCTACACTCAGGAATCACTCCTGGCGGTGCTTGGGGGACCATATGGGGTGCTGGGAATCGAACCCAGGTCGGCCGCATGCAAGGCAAACGCCCTACCCGCTGTGCTATTGCTCCAGCCCAATAGGATAAAAGTTTAAACTTGTTTTCAGGGTTTAGAAGAAAATAACAATCTACGAGACGCAAAGAAGCACTCATTCCTTGATACCTATTTTCACTAATTTTTCTGAGTGCTGATTCATTGGAAGGTCATTGCTTTTCAGGGGTACTTACATATTTCTTCCTCCACTTTTTCCTGAGCAGATGCTTCTGTCGTGAAGCCCACTGTGATCTCCTGGTTAGAACAAGGAGCCTCGAGGACACTGAAGACAGGAATCTTTCATGGTGTGTGTTTCTGGTCTGGAGAGATAGTCTAGCGGGGCTGGTGCATGCCTAGCAAGTACCCATCCTGAACTCCATCACCCCATAGGATTCTTCAAGCCCCACCAGGAGTGGTCCCTGAGCATAGCCAGGTGTGACCCAAAAAAATTAAACAACCGGGGCTGGAGAGATAGCACAGCGGGTAGGGCGTTTGCCTTGCACGCGGCCGACCTGAGTTCGATTCCCAGCATCCCATATGGTCCCCTGAGCACCGCCAGGAGTATCTCCTGAGTGCAGAGCCAGGAGTAACCTCTGTGCATCCCCAGGTGTGACCCAAAAAGGAAAAAAAAAAAGAAATTAAACAACCAAGAGGACATCAAAGTGAGAGTTTCTAAGAACCTCACTGATGGGCTGATCACTTGGTTTAGAATTATATTAAATTGAGGACCGGAGCGATGGTGGAGCAGGGAGGGTGTTTGCCTTGTATGTGGCTGACCCGGATTCAATCCCTGGCACTCCATTAGTCCATCGAGTCCCACCAGGTGTGACCCATCAGCGCAGAGCCAGGAGTCAGCCTTGAGTAACAGAGGGTATGTCCCAGAACAAGAACAGGGGCCGGAGCGATAGTCTAGCAGGGAGGGCGTTTGCCTTGCATGCAGCTGACATGAGTTCCATCCCCGACATTCCACAGGGTCCCCTGAGCACCACTAGAGCAATTCCTGAGCACAGAGTCAGGAGTAACCCCTGAGGATTCCTGGGTGTGGTCCCCTCAACCCCCTGAAAAACCCACAACAACAAAAAACTATGTAATTGGGATGGGCATCAAGCACAGCAATACACAGGACTTGCTCCTAGTGGTGCTCAGGGGGCCAAATGAGATGCCGGGGATCGAACCCAGGTCGGCTGCGTGCAAGGCAAACGCCCTACCCGCTGTGCTATCATCACTCCAGCCCCACAGAGGTTACTTCTGGCTGCGTACTCAGGAATTACTCCTGGTAGTGTTTGGGGGACCATATGGGATGCTGAGGATCAAACCCAGGCTCTCCACATTGTACTGTTGAGGCCACGTAAATATCCTACCTGCTGTACTATTGGTCCAGCCCATGCAGCACACACTTGGACAGAGGCTTAATAGGGTGCTGTGGTTTGTCATTCCTTCTTGGCTGGGGCTCTGTCTGTTCAGTCACCCCCTGGCAGCCACCAAGGTGACTGGATGTTACAACTGGCCACGGAGGGGAGAGGGGCCTTTGCTGGAAAATCAAAATCAAAAGGGAAGTTATGGGGGAGGGCTGCCTACCACTCATCCTGTTTGGACCAAGTCTTGTGGGCTCCATCCTCATCCCCAGTCACCCCCTCAATTGTGCCCTGCAATATCCCACGACTACCACCAGATGTGACCCCAAGACCAAAAGTATGTGTTCTGTGTAGGTTGTGTTTTTTGTTGTTGTTGTTTTTTTTTTTATCACACCCAGCAATGCACACCCAGCTCCTGGCTCTGCACTCAAGAATTACTCCTGATGGTGCTCGGGAGACCATATGGGATGCTGGGAATCGAACCCAGGTCGACCATGTGCAAGGCAAACGCCCTACCCACTGTACTATCACTCTAGCCCCTGTAGGTCTTTTTTTTTTTTAAGTTTGTTGTGTTGATTTCAGAAAATACATAGTGTTTCCCTGACCTTTTGGACTGTACTGGTAATTATTACTACTATGCAGGGTGCTGAGGATCAAACCCAGAACTTCACGCAGGCAAGGTCTGAGCACCGCCCCTAAACCAGCTCCCCACCTGGGCTGTTACTGCTTCGCTTTCTCTGTGAGGGAACCCTGACCCCACATTTCCTTTTTCCTACAGTCTGGTAATCTTTATAGGGCTTCTTCATAATTTCGACAGCTCTATATGAAATCCTTTACTGATATATTACTGCAGATTTCACTGATTTTTTTTGAGGGGGGTAAGGGGCATAGCTCAGGGCTTATTCCTGGCTCAACCTCCAGGATCACTCCTAGTGGATGCCCAGGATCAAACCCGGATGGTGGCATGGAAGGCAAGCACCCTACCTACTGAACTCTTTACAAAACTGTCAAAACTCTTTTGTTTTGGGGCCATACTAGTAGTAGTAGTAGTAGTAGTAGTTGTTCTTCTTCTTCTTCTTCTTCTTCTTCTTCTTCTTCTTCTTCTTCTTCCTCTTCCTCCTCTTCCTCCTCTTCTCTTCCTCTTCTTCCTCTTCTTTTCCCTTTTCTTCCTCTTCCTCTTCTTCCTCTTCTTCCTCTTCCTCTTCTTCTTCCTCTTCCTCTTCCTCTTCTTCCTCCTCTTCTTCCTCTTCTTCCTCCTCTTCTTCCTCCTCCTCCTCCTCTTCCTCCTCCTCCTCCTTCTCCTCCTCCTCCTCCTCCTTCTTCTTCTTCTTTTTTTTTAAACTAATGGTTCTCAGAACTAATTCCTATCTCTGAACTCAGGAATCTCTCCTGATGGGCTCTGGGGACGCTCTAGGGTGCCAGGGATCAAGCCCAGGTGAGCTGGGTCACATGGAAAGCAAGCACCCTCCCTGTTTGACTATCTCCAGCCCAAGGGCTACGTTTTGTTTATTTGGGGGCCACACCACGATACTCAGGATTTCTCCTGGTTTTGTGCATAGGGATCACTCCTGACAAGGCTCAGTACCATTAACTGATCAAGAAATCATATCCAGGGGCTTACACATGCTAGGGGAAAAGGCAGCTCAGATAGAGAAGGGAGCACCAAATAAAGGGTGTTGGGAGGATCCTCCCAGGATGGGAGAAGCATGCTGAAAGTAGACTATAGACCAAACATGATTGCCACTCAATGCCTCTTTTGCAAACCACAATACCCAATAGGAGAGAGAGAACAAAAGGGAATGCCCTGCCACAGAGGCAGGGTGGGATGGGGGTGGGGGGTGGGGGGTGGGAGGGATGCTGGGATCCGTGGTGGTGGGAAATGGGCACTGGTGGAGGGATGGGTATTTGATCTTTGTATAATTGAAACCCAAGCACAAAATTTGTAAGTCTACAACTGTACCTCATGGTGTCTCACTAATAAAAATTTAGACAGTGATCCAGGGACTAGAGCAATAGCACAGCGGGTAGGGCGTTTGCCTTGCATGCGACCAACTGGGGTTCGATTCCCAGCATCCCATATGGTCCCGTGAGCACTGCCAGGAGTAATTCTTAAGTGCAGAGGCAGGAGTAACCCCTGTGCATCACCAGGTGTGACCCAAAAAGCAGAAGAAAAAAAAAGAAGAAAAGAAATCATATCCAACTCCTTTATGGGTAAGACAAGTGCCTTAGGGCCAGAGCAATAGTACAGCAGGGAGGGCGTTTGCCCTGCACATGGCTGAGCTGGGTTCAATTCCCAGCATCCCATGTGATCCCCAAGCACTACCAGAAGTAATTCCTGAGTGCAAAACCAGGAATAACCCCTGAGCATCGCTGGGTGTGACCCCAAAAGCAAAAAACATTTTAAATTTTTGAAAAAGGACAAGTGCCTTAATACCTTGCAATATCTCTCCAGTTCCAAACAACCAATTTTTTTATTAACACAAGACAACAAATCATTCCATTAAAAGCTTTACAGATGGTAAGGCCGGAGAGACAATCCTGCAGGGAAGGCACTTGCCTTGCATGCAGCTCACCCGGGTTCAATCCCTGGCATACCATAGGGTCCCCGGAACACCACCAGGTGTGACCCAAAAGCCAAAAAAAAGAAAACTATACATAAAAAACCCTCATTTTCACCAAATGATCAACTCCTTCTTGTTCTGTTGTTTCTTACATAATTGTTTTAAAATTCTAGAATGGAAATCCAGACAGAACTACAACGTGGCATTCTGTTCACTTGATTTTGAGAAAGAAACAACAGTCGTGGTAAGTTCGATCCATTTGAAAACAGACATTCCCTCTCTTCTGCATTGCAAAGAAAACCAATTGAGATTTTTATTGTTCTTTCATTGTATGGTTATCTCGCCCGCACGGCAGAGCCTGGCAAGCCACCCGTGATGTATTCGATATGCCAAACACAGTAACAACAAAATCTCCCATGGAGACGTTACTGGGCCCGCTCGAGCAAATCGATGGACAACGGGAGGGCCTTTACTTACTTAACTTTTACTATCACTCCTAGCAAGACTTGGCAGGGCCATGTGGGATGCTGGAGATCGAACCTGGATTAGTCATGCGCAAGGCAGCTGGCCTACGTACCAAAGTGTTATTTTGGTCTCTGATCTTTCAAATTAGGGACTCCTGGCTTTGTTTGGGGACCACCTCAGGGCACTACCCTGGCACTACTCTTCACTCAGTGCTCAGACATCACACAGGCAGGCTGAGGGGACTCTATGGGGCCCCTGGGGTGCCAGGGATCGCACCTTGGTTGACTGCATGAGAGCAAGCACCCTCCCTGCTGGGCTCTCGCTCCACACCCAGCCTGTCTTTCTTGCCTAAGAATCCTTTCTGGGGCTGGAATGATAATACGGCAGGGAAGGCATTTGCTTGCATGCAGCTGAGTCTGGTTCAATCTCAGTCATCCCATATGATCCCACGAGCACCACCAGAAGTAAATTCCCAAATGCAGAGCCAGGAGGAACCTCTGAGCATCACTGGGTGTGGTGTTCCTCAACCCCTGCTTCCTGAAGAAAAGAATTCTTTCCCTCAACTTACATGTCAGGATTCATTTTAGTTATCTCAAACTAAAACAACGACACTGTCCTCCCGTTGTTCATCGATTTGCTCGAACGGGCCCAGTAACGTCTCCATTTTGAGACTTGTTGTTACTGTGTTTGGCATATTGAATATATCACGGGTAGCTTGCCAGGCTTTGCCATTGTGCAAAAAAGAAAAATCACTGCTCCTTGGGACTGGAGAGACAGTACAGCAGGTAAGTTGCCTGCCTCTCATGCAGCTGATATGGGTTCGATCCCCAAGTAATCCCCTGGGCACTGCCAGGAGTGATGCTGGAGTGCAGGGCCAGGGGTAAGCCCTGAGTATCACCAGGTGGGCAGTCACACACACACACACACACACACACACACACACACACACACACACACACATACACCCCTATATATCACTGTTTCTGTTCAAAGATGGATATATCTCTTCACAGAAATGTCTGAAATCAGGCTTGATTTTTCTTGGGTCACACCCAGCAATGCTCAGGACTTACTCCTGGCTCTGCACTCGGGAATTACTCCTGACAGTGCTGGGGAGACCCTATGGGATGCTGGGGATCGAACCCAGGTTGGTCATGTGCAAGGTAAAGGCCCTCCCCGCTGTCCTATCGCTCCAGCCCAAGGCTCTCTCTCATTCCACAGGAAAGCGGCACTGAGTACTGGAACGTATGTGCTGATGAGCTGGGAGAAGATTCTAGTGAAGGGTCCTGCCTTCCTCCTGCCAGGTGCAGTCCAGCGGGCCGGCTCTCTGCTGAAGATCAGACCGGCACAAATTTCCCCACATCAAAGAAACCTGGCACCAGAAAAAGTTACCCGGCGTCTCTGGAACCCCCTCCTCAACCTGCAGAGACACCCGGTGGCTGGGAGAAAACGATTTCTGCCAAGCAGGGAGGGTCTCTTCCAGGCCCCTCAGCTCCTCCCAGGCCTGGTCAAACCAAGAATACCAGAAGCTCCAACAACTGGAAGGAACGCGGGGTTGGTGCTGAGGGTCCCAACCGCGTCCAGGGGCAGACCCGGCATGGGAAGAGTCTCCGCTCAGGGGAGGAGCGTGCAGGGGCTTTGAGACATGCATCTCGCCTGAGAACTCGCTCAGAAGTGGACACTGCACCAGGCGAGAGGTGGCGGGGCACCATCTTTCCCTCCTCCAAACAGCAGACTGGACCCCCTGGAACTCGGGCTGGGGAAAACGTCTGTGCTGATGAGGGCCAAGAGAAGGTTCTGGATCATAATTCTGACTTCCCTAAAGTGGGGGCCGCCCCACCGCGGGGGAGATGCTTCGTGTGCGGGGAGTGTGGCAAGGCCTTCATGCAGTCCTCGGACCTCCTCCGGCACAGGACGGTCCACTCGGGAGAGAAACCCTTCGTGTGTCCCGAGTGTGGCAAGGACTTCCCCCGCTCCTCGTGCCTGAAGAACCACGTGCGCATCCACACGGGCGAGAAACCCCACTCCTGCCACGAGTGCGGGAAGGCCTTCCTGTCGTCCTCCCAGCTGGTCCTCCACCGGCGCATGCACTCGGGGGAGCGGCCCTTCGCCTGCGACAAGTGCCACAAGGCCTTCCAGTCGGCCTACAAGCTCATCCGGCACTTCCACACGCACACGGCCGAGAAGCCCTTCGTGTGCCGGGAGTGCGGGAACGCGTACACGGAGTATTCCGGCCTGGTGAAGCACCTGAAGGTCCACACGGGCGAGAAGCCCTATGCGTGCCCGCAGTGCGGGAAGACCTTCGTGCAGGCCTCCTACCTCACCCACCACCTGAGGACCCACACGGCCGAGCGGCCCTACACATGCCCAGAGTGTGGGAAAGGCTTCAAGTGTGCCAAGAATCTTGCCGCCCACCGTGGGACACACACCAAGCCCTTCATGTGTGGCGAGTGCGGTCGCGCCTTCGCCCAGTCCACAACCCTCTGCCAGCATCAGCGGACTCACACTTGCCAGAGGGCCCACGTGTGCCAGGAGTGCGGGCGGAGCTTCAAGTCGGTGGGCTACCTCCACGTCCACCAGAGGAGCCACAGCGGGGAGAGGCCCTACCCCTGCCCGCACTGTGGCAAGGCCTTCATCCGCGCCTCCAGCCTCAGTCACCACCTGCGCGTCCACACGGGCCAGGACCGCTACCAGTGCGCTCAGTGCCCCAAGGCCTTCCCGACCTTGTCCCAGCTGGCCACCCATGTCCTGATGCACACGGGGAAGAAAGCGTTCCCGTGTGAGCTCTGCGGGAAGTCCTTCAACAGCCCCTCCAACGTCCGCATCCACAAGCGCTGTCACACCGGTGACAGCGTGTAAAGGGCAAAGGGACACGAGCTGGGGGAAGAGCTTTGGTCAGGCTGCGGACCAATGGTCACTCGGCCCCGCCCACCTGTGGTCTAAGATCACTGTCACTGCCACTGTCCTCCCGTTGTTCATCAATTTGCTCGAGCGGGTCCAGTAACGTTTCCATTTTTTGGAGACTTGCTGGTACTGTGTTTGGCATATCGAATACATCACGGGGAGCTTGCCAGGCTTTGCCATGCAGGCGAGATACTCTTGGTAGCTTGCCGGGCTCCCCGAGAGGGGCGGAGGAATCGAACCTGGCTCGGCCAGGCTGGCTGCGCGCAAGGCAAATGCCCTACCGCTGTGCTGTCGCTCCAGCCCAGGTCTAAGATCAAAAATTAAAATTAGGGACCAGTGGCAGAGCGACAAAACAGGAGGTAAGGCCTTGCCAGCCACGGCTCTGGGTTCATCCCGGCATCCCATAGGGATCCCAAGTACTTCCAGGAGTAATTCCTGAATGCAGTGCCAGGAGTAACCCATGCATTGCTGGGTGTGACCCAGAAAGCCAAAAAATAATAATACAATAAAAAATTGGAGCGATAGCACAGCGGGTAGGGCGTTCGCCTTACAAGCGGCCAACATGGCCGACCGGAGTTTGATTCCTCCACCCCTCTCGGAGAGCCCGGCAAGCTACCGAGAGTATTCGATATGCCAGACACAGTAACAACAAAGTCTCCAATGGAGACGTTACTGGGCCCGCTCGAGCAAATCGACGATCAACGGGAGGGCCTTTACCTTTACCTTTTACAATAAAAAATTAGGGTCCAGAGCAGTAGTATAATAGGCAACACACTTGCCTTGCATGTGGCAGACCTGGGTTCCATCCCAGCATCCCATAAGGTTCCCAGAGCACCACCAGGAGTGATCCCTAAGTGCAGAGCCAGGAGTAAAATCCTGAGCATCGCCAGGTATGGCCCCCCAAATAATTAAGAATTGTAAACTGAAAAATAAATTATGGTGTGGAAAAGTATTGCGGAGATAGTATAGTGAAGAAGGGACTTTGTTGTGTTTTGTGCTTTGGTTTGGTTGGTTTTTGTGTTTTGGCTACACCCAGTAATGTTCAAGGGTTACTCCTGGCTCTGCAGTTCAGAATCACTCCTGATGTTGCTAAGGGGATCCAGTAGGGTGCCAGGGATGGAACATGGTTCAGCCACATGCAAGGAAAACGCCCTCCCAGCTGTCCTATTGCCCCCGACGCTAGAAAAGACTTAATACAAATGGGAAAACACGCACCAATTCTTCAGACCTGACTGGCCAGGAAGACCACCATGAAACTTTGGGGTTGTTTTGTTTTGTTCTGCCTTTTCGGTCACACCTCACAGGGCTTACTTCTGGGTCTGCACTCAGAAATTATTCCTGGGGGAGCTTGAAGGACCCTATGGGATGCTGGGGATCGAATCCAGATCAGCTATGAGCAAGGCAAATGCCCAACCTGTTGTACTATTGTGCCAGCCCCACACCATGAAAGTTTGGAATAAACGGTATTTTCCATACTCCTCAGACCTTTCCTTAGAGAGACCTGTTAGCTGGGGAGAAGCATGGGGCATCAAACACCTTCACTTTCCTGTTCCCCAAGTCCCCTTGGGAAAACCCCATCCAAGAGGGACCATCCTTTCAATATTATGAAAGTGGCAAAAAGTTTTTAGGAGTCTGGGGTTGGAGAGATAGCACAGCGAGTAGGGCGTTTGCCTTGCACGTGGCCAACCCGGGTTCGATTCCCAGCATCCCATATGGTCCCCTGAGCACCGCCAGGAGTAACTCCTGAGTGCAGAGCCAGGAGGAACCCCTGTGCATCGCCAGGTGTGACCCAAAAAGCAAAAAAAAAAAAAAAAAACAAGTTTTTACGAGCCAATTCTTAGCATAAGGATAGAAGTTCAGGGTAAATGTTGCAAAGACTGTGGATATGGGGGTATCCTCCTTATATCCCAACATTGAACTCTACCTATAATACTGGGGAAAACTGGAATAAAAAGCATCATTCTTTCGTTTCTTTTGTCTTGGAGTCACACCCATTCTAGTTGCAGGACCCTTTGGGATGCTGGGAATCAAAGTTCGATCTGCTGTGTGCAAGGTCCACCCTTCCTACTGGTCCTGTTGGTCCAGTCCCCTAAAAAAAAAATCTCATGTACATAGTGAATATTGGATCATATCTGGCTATGCTCAGTGCTTACTCCTGGCTCTGTACTCGGGAATCACTCCGGGGAGTGTTCTGGGGACCCTATACGAAGCTGGGGATCAAACCCACCTGACCACATGCAAGGCAAGCGTCCTCCCTCCTGGACTCCAGCCCCATTCCTCATTCTCCATAAACCTGGGTTGATTCAAGCAAGAGAAGCTGCAAATTCACAACTGCTTCCCTAGGATGGAAATCATTGGGTTTTTTGTTTGTTTGTTTTGGTTTGGTTTTGGCTTTTTGTGTCACACCCACCCTAGCTGAATTAATCCTGTTGGTGCTCGGGGGACCATTTGGGATACGAAGGATTGAACTCAGGTTGACCGTGTGCAAGGCAAAAGCTCTCCCTGCTGTAGTATTGCTCTGGCCCCTTATGATGAAAATCTTGACCAAAATGCTCTACTTTTAGCCCCAAAACACAGTGCTGGATGCCTATATCCTCAAGTTGCACTGGGGTCACTCCCAGTGATGCTTTGGGGGGCCCTGTTGGCCTCAGGGTCACTACTGGGGTCGTCCAGTAGATGCTTTGGGGTTCCTGTCATCCTCAGGGTCACTATTGAGCATTCCAGATTTAAAAAAAAAAATATCTAGTCTTGTTTTGCTTGTTTTGGTTTGTGGGTCACACCCGGTGGTGCTCAGGAATTATTCCTCACTCTGAGCTCAGCAACCACTTCTAGCTTGGCTGGGGGAACCATATGGGGTGCCAAGAATGAACCTGATTAGGTCTCATACAAGGTTAAGTTCCCTCCCCACTGTACTATCTCTCCCCAATATGCCTAGTGCTTTAACAACAACCCTGTCATCCCACCCCCATACTGTTTCTCTATTTATTTATTTATTTATTTATCTCTCTATTTATTTATTTATTTGCTTTTTGGGTCACACCCGGCGATGCACAAGGGTTACTTCTGGCTTTGCACTCAGGAATCACTCCTGGCAGTGCTCAGGGGATGCTGGGAATCGAACCTGGGTCGGCTGCATGCAAGGCAAATGCCCTACCCGCTCTGCTATGGCTCCAGCCCCCATACTGTTTCTCTAGACCCTAAGAAGCATTTTATTTTTGAGGGGTTTTGGCCATGCTTAGGGAAATCATATTGTGCCAGAGAGTTCACCTCGATCAACTACAAGCTAAGAAATCACTTGACCTGGCCCAGCCTTTCTGGAAAACAATATGGACATTTCTCAAAAGATCAAGAAATTGGGACAGGAGAGATAGCACAATGGGTAGGGCATTTGCCTTGCACGCGGCCAACCCGGGTTTAATTCCTAGCATCCCATCTGGTCCCCTGAGCACCACCAGGAGTAATTCCTAAGTGCAGAGCCAGGAGTAACCCCTGTGCATCGCTGGGTGCGACCCAAAAAGCAAAAACAACAACAACCAAAAAAAGACAAGAAATTGAGCTTTCATATGACGCAGCAGTACTGCTCCTGAATGGCCTGAAAACAGTGCAGAAAAGTCATCTGCATGGGGCTGGAGTGACAGCTCAGCAGGGAGGGCGTTTGCCTTACACACAGCCGACCTTGCCTTGTACGCAGCTGATCTGTGTTCCATCCCCAGTATCCCATATGGTTCTTCCCCCAGCACCACCAGGAGTTAATTCCTGAGTGTGGAGCGAGGAGTAACCCCTGAGCATCTCTGGGTGTGACCCAAAAAAGCAAAAAGAAAAAAAAATGAAAATAGAAAAGAAAACCCATCTACACTCCTGTGTTCATTGCAGCCCTGTTCACAATACCCAGAATCAAAACAAACCAAGTACCCGAGAACAGTGAGTGGATAAAGTAATTAACATCTACACAATGGAATACTACACAGCTGTTAGGGAAAATGAAGGCATGAAATCTGCTTATACGTGGGTGGACATGGAGAATAAACTGAGGGAACTGAGTCAGAGGAAGAGAGACACAGACTGATTGTACTCATTTGTGGGATTTTGAAAAAACAGTATATGAATAATACCCAAAGACAGCAGAAACAAGGGCCAGGAGGACTGGTCCATGGTAGGAAGCTTGCCACCTAGTGGGAGGGGGACTGCAGTTAGGACAGAGAAGGGACCACTATGCCAATGATAGTTGGAAATGATCACTCTCAACAAGAACTGAGTGCTGGACCTGGAGCAATAGCACAGCGGGTAGGGCGTTTGCCTTGCAAGCAGCTGACCTGGGTTCGATTCCCAGCATCCCATATGGTGCCCCAAGCACCGCCAGAAGTAATTCCTGAGTGTATGAGCCAGGAGTAGCCCCTGTGCATGGCCGGGTATGACCCAAAAAGAAAAAAAAAAAAGAACTGAGTTCTGAAAGGAGGTAGAGTGATATACAGGATACCCTTCCAGTAACAGTATTGCAAACCACAGTGCCTAAAAGGAAAATGAGAGAAGGAGAGAGAGAAAGCCTGCTCTGCCCACATAGAACAGACTGGGGCAGACGGGGGTGGGGGTGGGGGACAGGCGGGGGGAAAACTGGGGATGTTGGTGAAGGGATGAGTGTTGGAACATTGCAGGAGTGAAACTCAATCATGAACAACTTTGTAACTGTGTCTCCCATGGTGATTCAATTGGAAAAAAAAAATACCTACTGTATGCTCTGAGACCCTCAAAAAATACTCCTTTAGTTAGAACCATGGTCAAACAACTTGAAGGCATTCCCACATTCCTTACAGGTGTGGGATCTTTCTCCAGTATAGAATACTAAGATATCTACTTTGTACTATTAAAGACCTGTGCCATATTCTTTTTTGTCTTTCTTCTGTTTTTTTTTTTGGGGGGGATGCTTTTTGGGTCACACCCTGTGATGCTCAGGGGTTACTCTTGACTCTGTGCTCAGGAATTACTCCTGGCAGTGCATGGGGATCGAACCCCAATCAGCCGAGTGTAAGGCAAATGCCCTCTACCTGCTGTACTATAGCTCTGGCCCCTCTTTCTTCTGTTTTGGGGCCACACCCAGCAGTGCGCAAGGCTTGCAGCAGGATGTGCTCAGGGGTCACTCCAGTTGGGGCTTAGGGGGCCCTACAGAGTGCAGGGGTTGAATTCCCTGTCAGCTCCTTGCAAAGGAGCTGGTCCCAGTTCTGAAGTTAAGTGCTGAAGTGCAGGATGACGGTGGGCCAGAATTATCTGGAATAGCAGTGAAGCATTCTAGTTGAGAGCTTCCTTTTTTTTTTTTTTATTAGTGAGACACCATGAGGTACAGTTGTAGACTTACAAACTTTCGTGTTTGGGTTTCAGTTATACAATGATTCAGTACCCATCCCTCCACCAGTGCCCATTCTCCACCACCACCAATCCCAGAATCCCTCCCACCCCCCCAATCCCATCCCCACCCTGCCCCACCTCTATGGCAGGGCATTCCCTTCTGGAGAGCTTCCTTTTTCAGGGGCTCTCAGTTTCCCCGCATTGAGGCAGGCAAAAGTAGGTAACTCTTGCCTAATACATATTCGTGCTAGCAATCAATTTTTTAAAAATGCGGGGCCAGAGCAATAGTACAGCGGGTACAGCTGCCAACCTGGGTTGGATCCTCAGCACCCAATATGGTCCCCTAACCACCGCCAAGAATAATTTCTGAGTGCAGAGCCAGAAATAACCCCTGAGCATTCCCGGGTATGAACCAAACAGCCAAAAAATATAAATATTTTAATGCTAACTAGCCTTTTTAAAAATAAAAGGGCCAGATTAGTACAGCGGAGAGGCCGCTTAACTCGCGCACAGCCGAGCCACTTCGATCCCCAGCGTCCCATGTGGTCCCCGGAGCATCGCCAGGAGTGATTCCCGGGTGAGGGGCAGGAGTATCCCCTGAGCACCGCAAACAAACAAAACACCCAGTTTGCTTTTATTTTTTGGGGTCACATCCGGCTATGCACAGGGGTTCCTCCTGGCTTTGCACTCAGAAATTACTCCTGGTAGAGCTCGGGGGACCATATGGGATGCCAGGGATCGAACCCGGGTCGGCCGCGCAAGGGAAACATCCTCCTCGCTGTGCTATCGCTCCAGCCCCCCAAAAAAACAGTTTAAACAGGTAAAAAGCAAATAAAAAGTTCCCAGCTGCACGTTTTCACTCCAAACCCTTATGTAAATTGCAGCCCCATTAACTTGCCTTTAGCCCCGCCCTCCTGTGGCCACGCCCCCTATTTCTGACCAATCAGGTTAGAAACAAGCACACCTGCGCCCTGCCCACTCCCGGCTTAGACTCCGTAGCTCTGGCCCTTTAAGGCGCCGGTGGGCGGTGGAAGTGACGTCACTGCTCCCGGGACTTCTTGTCCGCTACGTCTTCAGTGGGTTTGTGGGTTGCATTGCCCGGTCGCCGCTGACTCTAACGGTAAGGGGCGAGGGCGGGGGAGTCCCCGGGAGGTTAAGGGGGCGTTTTAAAAGTCCATGTTGTCTCGGGACCTCCTTACCGAGCCCTGATTCCCCCACGGGGTCCCCGGTGTGAGTGGTGGGGGGCGGCCGGGGCTGGAAAAAGGAGGGTCGGGGGCGCCCTCGTGCACGTGCTCGGTGCAAAAGATCGAGTGAGTGTGATGTTTCTGCAGAGCCCCGGGAATTTCTGCTGCTCCTGCCCGCTGGCTGAGACCAGACCCCCCCACACACCAACACCCCGTCTCTGTCTGATCTCCGATCCTCGGTTGTCTGGGTGAGTACCGGGGGGGGGGGGGGTTGGATGGAGGCTTGAGGGACCGATCGTCTGAAAAAGTTTCCACTGAGAAATTTTTGCATTTTTTTGTTGTTAAGTTTGCGCGCCTCATCGAATGGGGGGGGGCGACTGCGGGTTCGGAGGCGCCCGGGAACCGAGCTAGCTTGGAGGCTCCAGACTGTTTCGCACAGGGTTCAGCGCTTCGCTTTAGAATTGCCTTTGTCTTGGCACGGGTCCTAGGTCTTGGGGTGTCCCGGGGCTTTGCTCCGTGCACAGGGGCGCACTGGCCTTGCCAGTTGGCGGTGCGGCGCTTCGAGCGTCAGGGCTGCAGCCGGGGCGCTCAGGACCCTCCACGGCCACACTCCAGGGTGCTGGGGTGACCTTGCATCGGAGCGCAGGGGCTCACTGGCCTTGCAGCCTGGTGGTGCGGCGCTTCGAGCGTCAGGATGGTCAGGGCTGCACCCCGGGCGCTCAGGACCCTCCACGGCCACACCCCAGGGTGCTGGGGCCACCGTGCATGCCGGGGTTCCCGCTGCAATATGCTGATCGCGGGGGAGTTCTTTGTCTCCAAAATCCCAGGACTCTGTCCCCAATGGAGCGGTTGGAGGACCGGACCGGGCTGAGGGCAGTGGGAGGGGTTTCCTGCGCCCCCCCCCCCCCCCCCCCAGCGATTAAGCATCGCAGACTGACAGGCTGAATCTGGAGGAGGATTCTGGAGGGTCCAGCCCTTGCATGTCGTGTGCATCTGTGTCATGGCAACTGCCCTGTCCCTATGCCCCAGTCCTCAGACCCCACTCCTGTCTGACGGGGCTGTACCGGCAGAATTGGGGTCTCCTGGGCCCCTGTAGGCATCCCTGGCTCTCGATTTGTGGGGGTGCTCATACCGACCCCCAGAAAGTCAGCGCTGCAGACTGGGTGCTGAATGGGAGGAGGAAGGGTTAGGTGCAGGTGGGGTCCCCCTGCTGGAGGGGTGTAACCCTTGTCCTTGAAGGATTCAGAGGCTGGGATCATTTTGCCCCCTGGGAAGGTTTCGGAGCAATTAATTATACTTGGGCTGTTGGAATGGGTGAAGGGCAGGTATGATGCAGGGACTGAGATTTATTGGGTTTTTTGTGTTTTTTTGTTTTCTTTTGTTTTTTGCTTTTTGGGTCACACCCAGCAATGCTCAGGGGTTACTCCTGGCTTTGCACTCAGGAATTTCTCCTGGCAGTGCTTGGGGGACCATATGGGATGCCAGGGATCGAACCCGGGTCGGCTGCGTGCAAGGCAAACACCCTACCTGCTGTGCTATCGCTCCGGCCCCCAGGGACTGAGATTTAGGGGTGAGATTTAGGAAGGGTCACCTGGGGTTGGTTGGTTGATTTTTGTGGAGGGTTTTTTGGTTTGGGGGTTATACTAGCAGTGCTCACGGGTTACTCCCGGCTTTGCACTCAGGAATTACTCCTGACAGTGCTGGTGCTCAGGGACCGTATGAGAATGTCCTTCCCACTCTACGATCACTCTAGCCCCTGGTCTGTGTTTTTATAAATTTGCAGTCCATTGCAGAACGGAATAAAAGGGGAGTTTATTTGGGAAGGAAAACAGAAAATATTGAAAGGAAGGAGCTTTAGAGACATGAAGAGTCATTTCAATTTTCTTCTCTCCTTCCTCCCTTTTTTTTGGTGCCTCTCACCCAGCAGTGCTCAGCAGTGACAAGCCGTGACCATTGACCCTGCTTTGGGCATTGTAGGATAACATGGGTTTGTCTTTTCTGCCTTGCCGCAGGGAGCTTAGGTTTATTGGGTTGCTCCCATCACAGTGCTCCTATTCCTCTGTGTTTATTTGTGACATCTTTCTTTGTGCTCAGTTGACTTGTAAATATTGTTTTACTCTTCTCCTTAAGTCCTTTGCATAGTTAATTCAGAGCAATGTCCCTTTTTTGGGGTTTTTTTTGTTTTTTTCTTTTTGGGTCACACCAGGCGATGCTCAGGGGTTATTCCAGGCTCATGCAGTCAGGAGTCACTCCTGGCAGTGCTCGGGGGACCATATGGGATGCTGGGAATCGAACCTGTATCGGCCATGTTGGCCGCGTGCAAGGCAAACGCCCTACCCGCTGTGCTATCACTCCAGCCCTGCAATGTCCTTTTTGTATGGGCACAGGAAGACGATAAATAGTATGCTTTTGTGGGTCTGGAGAGATAGCACAGCAGGTAGGGCGTTTGCCTTGCACGCAGCCGACCCAGGTTCGATTCCCAGCATCCCATATGGTCCCCTGAGCACCCCAAGAGTGATTTCTGAGTGCAGAGCCAGGAGTAACCCCTATGCATCGCTGGGTGTGACCCAAAAAGCAAAAAAAAAAAAAGTATGCTTTTGTAACATAGGACTTAATTGACTCTCAATGATATCTGTTCTCTTGACTTAAGCCTCAGTTGCCCTTACTTCGTAGCACCCCAAAAGCAGGGTCCCGACAAGGGACTGGATGCACCCAGGGCAAGCGGTGAGCTATGTGCTACCCTAGCATTGAAATGGGCCTGACCAAAGTGCCATAATGCTTAACTATAAGTTAAGAGCTCGGACATGGACAAATGCTGTCATGATCCAAAAAGCAATAACGAGATTCGGACCCTGCTCGGATTAGGAAAGATTAATCTGGCCTGAGCACTGTAATCTGAGTCTGTGGCAAGAGGTTCCCAGCAGAGCCGTCCTACAAACCTCAATGTATCTCTGACTGTGTCCATACAAAATAACTAATATTAAGAAGTAGAATTAAGATGTTAATTAAGTTATTGGACTAAGGAGAAGAGGAACAACCCTAGGTGGTGTTTCCACCCTTGAGCCTGATGGCAGTCAGGAAGGGCTTTCTTTTTTTGGGGGGGGGTCACACCAGGCGATGCACAGGGGTTACTCCTGGCTCTGCACTCAGGAATCACTCCTGGCGGTGCTCAGGGGACCATATGAGATGCTGGGAATTGAACCCGGGTCAGCCACCGCGTGCAAGGCCCTACCCACTATGCTATTGCTCCAGCACCAGGAAGGGCTTTTTTTTTTGCTTTTGCTTTTTGGGTCACACCCAGCGATGCACAGGGGTTATTCCTGGCTCATGCACTCAGGAATTACTCCTGGCGGTGCTTGGGGGACCATAAGGGATGCCGGGAATCGAACCTGGGTCAGCTGCGTGCAAGGCAAACACCCTACCCGCTGTGCTATAGCTCCAGCCCCAGGAAGGGCTTTCTTGTGTTGGTTTTGCTACTGGACTGCGTGTAGTGTCTGCCCCCGGTGCTGGAGAGAGTTGGAGGGACAAGAGAGAACAGGCAGCACGATGGAGCGAGTTGAGCCTAGCAAGGGGGACAGACGGAGAAGAATATAGAAGAATCCAGGAGCAGGTGCTTGGAGAGAGACGAAGCTGCGAGAGGGAGCACGGAGAGATGAACGGGAGAGACAGGAGGAGCCGGGAATGGGGGGTCAGAGAGACTGGAACAGGTGCGTGGGGAGAATGGAATCAGTGGCAACTGATCAATCAACCAGCTTGGCCCTCGTTTCCTCCTCTGTGTGCCCCATGGCCCGGGCTGCCCCTGCTGGGCGAGCAGCCCAAGGCCCTCTGAACCCGGGTGGTGAGGGGGAGAGCCGTCGGGGCCTTCCCTTGCCACCCTGGCAGATTATACTAAACACCATGTGTAGGGGCTGGAGTGATAGCACAGCGGGTAGGGCGTTTGCCTTGCACGCGGCCGACCCGGGTTCGACTCCCAGCATCCCATATGGTTCCCTGAGCACCGCCAGGGGTGATTCCTGAGTGCAGAGCCAGAAGTAACCCCTGTGCCTTGCTGGGTGTGACCCGAAAAGCAAAAAAAAAAAAATAGTGAGCAGAGAGAGAGCACAGCGAGGAGGGCATTTGCCTTGCACGCTGCCGACCCGGGTTCGATTCTCAGCATCCCATAAGGTCCCCTGAGCACCGCCAGGAGTAACTCCTGAGTGCAGAGCCAGGAGTAACCCCTGTGCATTGCCAGGTGTGACCCAAAAAGAAAAAGAAAAAAAAAAAACCACCATGTGCAGTTCTTTTTCACATTTTTCGTATTTTCTTCCTGTGCATAGTCAAATTATTTCCTGATCAGCCGTTTGAAAGGAAGGGCAATGGAAAGTCCAATTTCATTGGTTTTTCAACAAATGGCAAGGGCTGGAGGGATAGTTCAGCAGGGAGGGCATTTGTCTTGCACAAGGGTGACTGGATTCGATCCCCAACATCCCATATGGTGTCTGACTCACTGAGTGCAGAGCCAGGAATAAACCCTGAGCATTGCTGGGTGTGACCCCAAAAGTAAATAAGGTAATAAACAAATGGCAGTGTGTTTCCTAAAGATATAGGTATTATTCAGCTTGAAATAAAATGCTTTCTTTCTCTACCCCAAAAAAGAACAAAGCAGTATTGTCTGTTGTTCATCTGTCTGCAAATGAACTTCTCTGTATTGTTACAAAGTTTGGGTTTTGGGGATTTGGGTTTTTTGTTGTTGGGGGTTTTGTGCTTGTTATCTTTGGGGGGGGGCGTGGATTGGGCCATATTTAGTGATGCTCAAGGGTTATTATTGGTTCTGCACTCAGGAATCACTCTTGGTAGTGCTCAGTGGACCAGTGGGATACCAGGAATTGAAACCTACAGTGGACGCATGCAAGGTAAATGCCTTACCCATTTATATTTTTTTTAACTTTTTTTTTGCTTTTTGGGTCACACCTGGCGATGCACAGGGGTTACTCCTGACTCTGCACTCAGGAGTCACTCCTGGCGGTGCTCAGGGGACCATATGGGATGCTGAGAATCGAACCCGAGCTGGCCACGTTCAAGGCAAACGCCCTCCCCGCTGTGCTATCTCTCCAGCCCCCTATATTCTTTTTTTTTTTTTGCTTTTGGGGTCACCCCTGGCAATGCACAGGGGTTATTCCTGGCTCTGCACTCAGGAGTTACTCCTGGAGGTGCTCAGGGCACACTGTGGGATGCTGGGAAATTGAACCCGGGTCAACCGCGTGCAAGGCAAATGCCCTACCTGCTGTGCTATCACTCCAGCCCACCCCATTTATATGATTGCTGTAGCCCCTTGAGGGCTTTTTTGTGGGGGCACATCCAGCAATAGTTAGGGCCCATTCCCAGCTCTGTGCTCCTGCTGGGCTCCGGGGACCATATGGAGTGCCAGGGATTGGTCTGGTTCAGCTATGTCCAAGGCACTTTCCCCACTGTGCTAAGCACCTTACTCACTGCACTATCTCACCCGCCCCCACCCTCACCCCGCAAGTTTGGTTTTCTTTTTTGTGGGGGAGGATGCACACTCCAGCCTAGCTTTATATATGGGAGTGCTGGTGGGCATACTTGGCAGTGTGCCTGGGATCGAACCCAGGTAGACTCTTCAAGGCAAGCACCTTCCTCACTTGCTGTCCTATTTTTGATTTATTGGGGGTAGGGTGGCCACCCTGCAGTGCTCTGGGGTAACTCCTGGCTCTGCATTAAGGAATTAATCCTAGTGGTGCTCAGGGGACCATATGGGATGCTGGGATCGAACCCAGATCAGCTGCATGCAAGGCAGACACCCTCCCCGCTAGACTATCACTCTGGCCCCTCGCTGTCCTGTTTCTGTAGCCCTATATGGCAATTTTCTATGTTCCTTTTTCTGTTGCTACTATTTTGTCCTTCCTGCTGGCTTTCTAGAAACTCAACGAGATTCTTTCAGCATGTCACACACATTGATATTTGTTTTTATTTAATGCTGTGTTTCCATTTTCTGGCCTACTCCTCTCTGTAGGTTATGCCCAGGGCAGAAAGAGGCATTCTTGTCATCTGGAAAGTTCCAGGGGTATGTTCTGGGTGCTGGGGGTGCAGGTCAACATTCTGCACCAGACCAGCAGCTACAGACCTGAGGGTGCAGACAGCCGTGGCTGTTCCCACCCACTGTCTTTACACGAACAGCCTGTGAGCAGCGCGTGTCAAGTGCCTCCAGATTTCAAGAGTGCGTTTTAAGGGGCTGGAGCGATAGCACCGCGGTTAGGGTAGGGCATTTTGCGTTGCACGTGGCTGACCCGGGTTCTATTTCCAGCATCCCATATGGTCCCCCAAGCACTTCCAGGAGTAATCCTGAGTGCATGAGCCAGGAGAGTAACCCCTGTGCAATGCCAGGGTGTGACCCAAAAATAAAAAAATAAATAAATAAAAAACGCATTTTAAAGATTCATTGCGGAGGCCCTTGCACACAGTTGAGCCGGGTTCAATTCCTGGCATCCCATAGGGTCCCCCAAGCACCACCAGGACTGATTCCTGAGTGCAGAGTCAGGAATAACCTCTGAGTATTGCCAGTTGTGACCCAAAAAGAAAATAAATAAATAAATAAATAAATAAGGGGTAAATCTAAAAGACCCATTTCCGTTTTCATTTTACTTGACTTCTTTTGTGTGGGTTGGTTTGGTCTGGAGGCCACACTCAGATTTTAGGACTTACTCCTGGCTCTGCGCTCAGGGATTATTCCTGGGGTTGCAGGGAACCCCAGGGGACGCCAGGGACCGAACCCAGGTCGGCTGCTCTCTGGCCCACCATAGTATAGCAGGGAGGGCGCTTGCCTTGCACGAAGCCCACCTGTGTTCGCTCTTCCGCACCCCAAGGGCCATCAAGCGAGTGTTGACTGCCCCCGAGGGTGGGTTCTGAGCTGGCTCTCTGTTCTTCTTCCCCAGGCCTGCCCTTCCGGATGGGCAGAACCCACGACCCCCGGCAGCATGACCAAGCTGACGACCAGCACGCCTTCTTTCCCCCACGGGAGCGCGCCCAGAAGCCCCCCGGGCTCACCGCGGAGGATACTCCAGACAACGACCTTCCAGCTGCAAGGAAGAAACCGGGGTCCGAGGAGAAAGCCTGCCCCAAGCCCCCGGATCCCCCGAGCGTCAAAAACCAGGGCAGCTCCCTGACCGTCCTGAGCCCGTCGGGCCCCCAGAAGTCCCAAGCCGGTCGGGGAAACGACCCGATCCCCCGCCAGGCCCTGCCGCCCGGCGAGGCGAAGCCCCACGTGTGCCCCGAGTGCGGCAAAGCGTTCACGAAGGCGTCGGGGCTGGCGCTGCACGCGAAGATCCACACGGGCACCAAGCCCTACCAGTGCGACAAGTGCGGACGCGCCTTCTACGCGTCGTCCAACCTCACCAAGCACTTCCGCACGCACACGGGCGAGAAGCCCTTCCCGTGCAACGTGTGCGGCAAGACCTTCACCACGTCGTCCTACGTCACCATCCACCAGCGCTCGCACACGGGCGAGAAGCCCTACGCGTGCCCGACGTGCGGCAAGGCCTTCACGGCGTCCACCCGCCTGGCCAAGCACCTGCAGTCGCACGGGGCCAAGCGCTTCGCCTGCGACGTGTGCGGGAAACGCTTCGCCAAGGCCGCCAGCCTGGGCTTCCACCGGCGCATCCACACCGGCGAGAAACCGCACGCCTGCCCCGAGTGCGGCAAAGCGTTCACCGAGCCGTCGGTGCTCACCAAGCACCGCAAGATCCACACGGGCGAGAAGCCCTACGCCTGCCCCGAGTGCGGCAAGGCCTTCAGCCAGTCGTCGGGGCTCACCAAGCACCTGAACATCCACACGGGCGAGAAGCCCTACGCCTGCCGCGAGTGCGGGAACGCCTTCACGCACTACTCGGGCCTCACGGCGCACCTGAAGATCCACAGCGGGGAGAAGCCCTACGCCTGCGACCAGTGCGGCAAGGCCTTCGCCTCCTCCACGCAGCTCACCACGCACTTCCGCTCGCACACGGGCGAGAAGCCCTTCCAGTGCAACGTCTGCGGCAAGACCTTCGCCTGCTCCTCCTACGTCACCATCCACAAGCGCTCGCACACCGGCGAGCGGCCCTACGGGTGCCACCAGTGCGGCAAGGCCTTCACGGCCTCCTCCTGCCTCATCAAGCACCTCCGCTCGCACACCGGCTAGCGGGGCCCCGAGGGCGTCGTTCACACGGGGACTCAACGCGGGCTGCGCGCACACGCGGACTCACACGGGGACGCAATACAGGCCGCAAGCAACACACACACACACACACACGCACACACACACGCTGACTTGCTGGAAACCCAGACTTGGCCAGAAAGAAGCCCTTGAGGGGCCGGAGCGATAGCACAGCAGGGAGGGCGTTTGCCTTGCACACGGCTGACCAGGGTTCGATCCCCAGCATCCCATAGGGTCCCCCAAGCACCACCAGGAGTAATTCCTGAGTGCAAAGCCAGGAGGAACCCCTGAGCATCGCTGGGTGTGACCCAAAAAAAAAAAAAAGCCCTTGACCTGTATGATTCATGTTCTGTTTTTGCTGGGGGGTGAGGGTGGGCACACCCAGTGGTGCTCCACCATTCCTCCTGGCTCCACTTTCAGGAATTACTCCTGGTGGAGCCGGAAGTCGAACCCAGGTCAGCCATGTGCAAGACAAACACCCTTCTCCTTGTACTATCCCTGGGAGGGGATTGTGTGTGTGTGGGGGGGGGGGTGGACCTGAAGTGTGTGACTAATGTTTACAAAAGTTTAGCTGCCTGAGCTTGGACCTCTGCCCAGAGAAAGATCTGGAATGTTCTGGGACCAAAAAGATCACATGGGCTGGAGTGAGAGCACAGCGGGTAGGGCTTTTTCCTTGCACGTGGCCGACCCAGGTTCGATTCCCAGCATCCCATATGGTCCCCTGAGCACTGCCAGGAGTGATTCCTGAGTGCAAAGCCAACCCATGCTGTCCATCAGGTCCCTGGTAATGTATTTTATTGGGGGTAGGGGGAGGCCCTGCCTACTGATGTCACCAGCCCAGAACTCAGGGTTGCTCCCAGCAGTGCCAGGGAGGGGGTGGCATTGCAGGGGTCAGACTTCAACCCCTGGTGTGCAATGTACTTCCAGCCCCTGCGACCACCTCCCTGACCCTATGAATTGATTTTAAGTATTGGTGGGCCAGCCCTGAGTTTTTTCAGAGTCTTTGAATTTTTTTTTTAAGTGGGGGAGTGGTGGGGAACCAGGCACTCAGCTGTGCTTGTGGGTAATTTCCTGTGGTGTTGGGGATCAAGCCCGGGGTTCCCACATGCCACACTTGTACTAAGGAAACCTGAGTGTTGGTGAACCTGTCTTTCTTTTCTTATTGGTGGTGGCTTTGGCTTGACTTGAGGGTGACACCTGTGCTCGGGGCGTACTCCTGTCTCTGTGCTCAGGGATCACTCCTGGCAGGGTTTGGGGGACCCATATGGGGCACCAGGGGTTGAACTCAGGTCGGCCTTGTGCAAGACAAGCACCCTTCCCGCTGTGCTCTCTCCAGCCTCATGGACCTGCCTTTTCTTGCTTTTGTAGCAGCTTCTAGATCACAGCCAGACCAAAAACTCATCTCCAGAAACTCCCCGGCGCTGGACTTCTGTTGTGGCATTCACCTCAGTTTCCCTTTTTGTGACTCAAACCAAGGGCATGGAGAAAGGCCATTGTTGAAGAACTTTGTTCCCTGGGGTCTGGGAGAGTCCAGGGGTTCTAGTCTTAGCCTGGTATCCACCCCTTATCCCTCAGTCCAACACTGTTCGGGGTCACTGACTTCTGAGCACAATGCCAGGAATAGTCTATATATATGGTTCTTACACACACCCTCCGAAAAAATTTTGGAGGTGCAGGGGTCCCAGGTCCCTCCCACATTTGGTACTCTCAGATCAACACTGACTATTGGAAGATCCCCTGGGGTTGGTCAGGATGTGTGCATGGATGCATGTTATTATACACAGAATATGTACAAATGACAGGCCACGTGAAGGGCCTGGGCAGTGATAAAGCCGTGAAGGCGCTTGCATGCAAATCTTTTTTTGCAGGACCAGAGAGATAGTCCAGCTGGGAGGGCAGTTGTCTTGCACACACCCCACCCAAGTTTGATCGCCAGCATTCCTTATGGTCCCCAAGCACCGCCAGGAGTGATCCCTGAGTGCAGAGCCCCGAGGAAGCCCTGTGCACTGGGTGTGGCCTCAAATCAAAGGCCTTATGAAAACCTCTGACCAGCCTTGCTGACATCAGAAAAGAACCTGGAGGGTCTGGGAGGAGAGGACAGCAGAGAGGACACTGGCTTTGCACTCAGCAATGTGGGTCCCCTGCACCACCAGGCTTACTCCGCGCATACCTGGGTGCTGCCCCCAAATCAAAAAGCTTGGGCTGGAGAGATAGCACAGCGGGTAGGGCGTTTGCCTTGCACACGGCCGATCCGGGTTCGATCCCCAGCATCCCATATGGTCCCCTGGACACCGCCAGGAGTAACTCCTGAGCGCAGACCCAGGAGTAACCCCTGAGCATTGCCGGGTGTGACCCAAAAAGCAAAAAAAAAAAAAAAAAAAAAACTTTCAAACTGGATGAGGCACTTGCCTTCCAGGTGGCCAACCTGTTTTCAGTCCCCAATACCATATTAGGTCCCCTGAGCCCACACTAGGAATGATCCCTAAGCACTGCTGTGTGGGGCACCTCCCCCCAAAAAAATAATTTTTAGCGAATTTCTTGTGAAGCCTGGAGTTCAGCTACAAACCGGAAGACAGCTATTCATAATGTCACATCCCCCATGCCAGAGGGGACTCTTGAGTCTCTTGCTGTGAAGGGAGAGGTTGGGGTGTCATGGATGTTTTCTTCACCTTGAACCCCACTTTTTTTTTTCTTTTTGGGTCACACCCGGCGATGCTCAAGGGTTACTCCTGGTTCTGCGCTCAGGAATTACCCCTGGCGGTGCTCAGGGGACCATATGGGATGCTGGGAATTGAACCCGGGTGGGTCGCATGCAAGGCAAACACCCTACCCGCTGTGCTATCACTCCAGCCCCATGAACCCCACTTCTTAATCCTGCCCCAGAAATTGCACTGGATGGAACAGAAGATGTATTTCCCTAAGGTGCTGTTACCGCTGCCTAATTAATTGTCACAGCCTGATTTTTTTTTAACAGCCTGATTTTTTTAAAGTGAAGCCAGCAGAATAAAATTAAAAATCATGAATTGTTTGCAAAAGCTTTGTGCAGTAGCCAAATCTCTTTTATTTTTGTAGGGAGGGATGCCAAGAGTCCTAAAATCTGTGGGTGACTTATCTGGGTGAAATACGGTAGCTGGTGCCTTGCCTGTTTTCACCAATAGTGATTCGGAGTTCCTTTGCGTTTTTCATGGTACCAGGTCTTATCCCAAGTGAGAGTTCACACATGCACCTCAGTTTTCCTTTCCCCACCTCACTGTTCATGTTAAAGGTGTCTGGGCTGAGATAGGCCTGCAGGATAGCAGGGACAGTGCTTGCCTTGCATGTGCCCAATAGGGGTTCAATCCCTGGAATGCTATAGGGTCCCCCCCAAGCACTGCCAGGAGCGATCCCTGAGTGCAGAGCCCAGAAGTAAACCCTGAGCATTGCCAAATGTGGCCAAAAATAAAAATGAAAACTAAATTTCCAGCCCATCAGCACCATCCACTCTTGGATATGCTTGTTATCACCAGGTATGTTTTTCTGGAACCTCTCTCTGAAGTTCCCAGAGCTGAGGTGGCTGGATATTAATTTTGAAGTTGTAGACCAAGCACCAGGCCAGGAGTAAGCTCTGAACAGTCAGGAGTGGGTGACCTTCAAAAACTAACAAGAAAAAAGAAAAGTCGGGGCTGGAACAATAACACAGTGGGTAGGGCGTTTGCCTTGCACACGGCTGACCCAGGTTCGATTCCCAGCATCCCATATGGTCCCCCAAGCACCGCCAGGAGTAATTCCTGAGTGCATGAGCCAGGAATAACCCCTGTGCATCGCCGGGTGTGACCCAAAAAGAAAGAAAAGAAAAGTCTTGGTCACACTGGGGTCCCTAAGCATACTCCACCTTTATAGTTGTCCTATTCGAAGACCTCAACTCTCATCTCTAGCTGACCCTGCTGGCTAGTTTAGGGCTGATTAGATATGCTGGGTTTGGGCCCAGTTCTGTGCTCAAACTGGGAATCACAGCCACATGCAAGGCAAGTGTCCTGCCTACTGTTCTATCACTCTGGCCCCCTCAGTTTTGTTTGGGGGCCACACCCACTGGTGCTCAAGGCTTGCTTCTGACTCAGTGCTCAGGGGTCACTCCTGGTGGGGACCCTATGGGATGCCAGGGAACAAACCTATCCACGTGGAAGGTAAATATCCTCCCCGCTGGACTATCTCTCTGGCCCCTGTTTTCTTTTCCTTGGGGGGACGGGGCACCCCTGAATGCTCAGGAGTCTAAAGACCATTCCAAGGACCTATCCAGACCAGTGGTTCAATGCAGGGCCCAAGGCTTCAAATCCCTAGCATCAGGTTAAGTCAGTTTCCTGGAGCACGAGTTCCAGAGCACTGCCAGATGTGGCCCTAAAAGCCTAAACCAAAACCAACTTCCCCCCCCAAAAAAAAAAATCAGTCGATTAATTAGACAATGGCCAGAGAGTTCACACAGTGGCCAGGTTCATCATCACAGGGCCTCATACTTTGCAGAACTGACTCCTGGCTCTGCTCTCTGGTTCCTGGTAGTGCTCCAGGAACCAGAACGGGGTGCCGGGAATTGAGCCTGGACCAGCTGGGTGAAAGGCAAGCACCCTACTGCCATACTATTGCTCCAGCCCCATGGCCCCTAATCTCTCTGGGGCTATCTGCCCCATTTCTCTGCCTTCTGCTTCGGTTCTGTATAATAAATCATCCCCTCGTGGTTAATGCACCCCCGGCCGCCCGCTGCCTCTGGTCTTGCCTGCAGGGACCATTTTAGACCGTCCAGCTGCTTCGGCTGGGGGAGCCGCCAGTCCGGTTTACCGGCCTCTCCCAGCACCTCCGCTGGCACTCACAGTGCAGCTTTGAAAGTGGGTACCTCTATGCCCCAGCGCTCAGCGATCTGAGCCTGCAGCATGGCGCAGGCATGGCCCACATCAGCCCCTCTTCTGCCTTCCTGCAGACCCCCGACGTCTGCAGCTGCGCCCAGGATGGTACTCACC